CTGCCTCCAGCTTCTGATTTTGTGAGGAAAAGTAACCTTTTGATTTATTTAAGCTGTTTTGCAAATGTTTAGCCCGAGACAATAACCAGTGTGCAAGGGATGCCCTGAGCCCTCTGCAGAGTACCTCCGTTGACCTCGTTATTTTCTGGAAGAACGTCACCTTTGTCCCTGGGGACTCTGGCCTGCTGGGGTGTGACATGCCACCCTGAGTGTGGGTCACACTTTTGGCTGGGACAGTCAGGAGGCACTGTGCACTGTGAGCTTGGTCCCCTCTGCACTGTGAGCTTCCTGTGCGCTGGAAAATTAGCAGGAAGTGTCAGTACTTGTGAGCAGGGAGCAGGTCCCTGCTGTGTGCAGAAGCCCTGGAAGGCCCTCGCCACACCCCCAACTGCAATGACGCCTGGGTGGTGGTGTCTGGGGTTTACCCTCCTTGTACTTCTCTGACTTTGGGGGAATAAAGACACAGTGAACATCGTGTGAGAATGTCACAATAATGCTCGTGACCACAACACCATGTGGAGTGGAACCCTGGCCTGGTGTCATTTCCTGGCTGCCCACTGCCTCCCTGCCACTCCTCTGTGGCAGCCTGGGGCAGTGCAAAGACACAGCTGAGGTTCCTGGACTGCCGGGGTCCAGTCCGACATGCTGGCCAGGGAATCCACGTCCTCGGGGGTTCTGGCCCAGAGAATGAGATGAGGCAGCAGCCCCTTCCCTCCTTCCACTCCGCAGCCCGCGGGCCGGGTCCCTCAGGTGGGGTGGCGGGCCCAGACCATCCCTCTCATGCAGTCCAAGCCCTTCTCTGTGACAGACCTTTCCTGGAGGAAACCCAATCAGTCGTGACGAATGACCAACACCAAACACGGAGTCCAGGGAAGCGTCGTAGATGTATTTTCATTTCTTTATTAGAAAGAGGCCTCTACGCTATAGCCACCTCTCTCCGCGACTTTACACAGCTTTCTTTTTCTTTTCCCCTTAGAATACTGTACAGCTGACACAAAAAAAATCCCAAGGCAGGAAAATACAAACTGGCATATTTAATCCAAACGAGGTCATATGAAATAACAAGCAGAGTGAACTGTCTGTCCATGGTTTTAATTACAGTACAAACAACATAAATAAAGCGTCATTGAGCCATCGTGAAACATGGAGTTGCCGAATGAGGTAATATAAAAACGACCCAAATGACCCCTGTCTCTGGATGGACCCGGCTGCCCTTCCATCTTCTGTACATGGCTATTTACAGAAACAGAAACGTGCTGCAAGGTGGGCCGAGGTGCGGCCTTCCCTGTCCACCCCAGATAATGTGCCTCTGTGTCACCTCTGATCTGTTCCAGCCCCCTTTCAGAAACAGGCTCCCACGCAAGATGAGGACCAAGGCAGGCCGGTGGGACAGAGGGGCCGTCCACGGGGGCGGCTGTGGCCGCCTTTGGCTCTCCCCTCGGCAGGCCTGGCCGAGGGGGCAGTGCTTTGGGACTCTTCCACACATTAAGGTCATTCCCCCAACACTATGGAGCAGTTTCTACATCACCTCCTGGCCATCTGGGGCAGCCCGGACCTGCTCCAGCTCCCCGTGTGCCCCTCAGGGTCCTGGAGAGAACGCTGCAGTGGCCCTGGGGGAGGTGGGCAGGGCATGAGTGCTGGCTGCCTGGGCCGGCCCCCACTCTCTAGGCCCCTTGGTCCCCTCTGCTCCCGACCCTGGTGACCTGGCATGCGGCACAGACATTTTCACTGGCTCCTCGGCTGAGGGCAGTGGGCTGCCCAGCCAGTGTCTCTGCACGAGGCCTGCCAAGGCCTCCATGAGCTGGTACTACACAGTGGGGGGAAGGCCCGGGGCTGCTTCCTGGAGCCCACTCTGAGTGGGCGCCCTTGGTGGGCACAGGTCTTCTAAGAGATCTAGTTGACTCTAGCAGCTGCTTTCAGGGCTAGTGCGGGTGCCGGGGTATAATGGGCCCCGGGTGCTGCTGCCAGCTGCTGGTGTGTTCAGGGCTCTGCTCTCCCCGTTGTGTCTCCCACCTCTTGGTCCTTCTTCCACCTGCACCCCACAAACAGGCCCCCAGACAAACAGCCCTGAGCCAGCCGGGCTCTCACGTGGGGAGGCGCCTGCTGTGGACCTGCAGCAGCTGAGTGCTGGGTGCCCACCCCTAGGCCCAGGCACTGGGTGGGAGGAGGCCCCCAGACAGGGGCAAACCCCAAACCAAAAAATACCTGGTGATGGAACACGGGAGGGCAGGCTTCCCAAGGTCCCCCTGCTGTGCTGTTGCAGGTGGGAGGTCACTGCACTGAGACACCAATGCTCCTAAACCAGCTTAAAAACCCTTCAGATAAAGACTTGTTTCACAGAATCCCCTTCCAGAATAATCCATGGAGAATAATAACCTCTAATGTCAACCCCGACACAGGATGCAGACCCACGTTTAAACAGCAGCAGATTTACAATGTACGGAGGGAATCTGTTAATATTTTTTAAAAATTTGGGGCAGGGTTGCTTTCCTAAGGGGAGGAGTACTTCTGGTTTGAAACACTAAGGTCTAAGTTGTTAAATGTCATCTTTCCCCCATGAGGTAGGACATGGGCCCTGATGCCTGGTTTCTCCAGTCAGGGACGTCTCGGGTCCAGGGTTACCTCCTGGCAGTGATGGAGAGTCTGAGGGCTGCTGCTTGGCAGCTCATCTACCCCAAGGTGCTGGGCCCCTCCCTCCTCTGCAGAACTGGAAGGAGTTTTAACATTTGGGCTGAAAACAACCTAATTTAGATGCTTGAGTGGCGAGGACCCACCAGGCAGGGCGCAAGCAGAAGAGAGTGCCAATCAGAGGTGCAGCAGGGTCCAGGTGTCCCCTGCCCTGCCGTCTGCCAGCACCACGCCTGGGCAACAGGCCAGGCCTGGTGGGCTGCTCAGGGAGCCGAGGGGTGGGCTTGAAGGATGCCTGAGGCCTGGGCCCTGGCTTAGCTTCCTGGTGAGGGAGGAGGGGTGGCAATCCCCTCAGATGTACTTCAGGACGTGAGCAACCCGAGTCCCAGGAGGCAGCTGGAGATAAATCCTGTTCCCTTTGAAGGAAAGACGTGTCTCCAGCACATTTCTATTCGAATTCCTTCCTGACTGCTTTTCAATCTGTTTGCTTGGAGGCCATAAATACAACTCAGGGGAGTTCTAGAAAAGTCTCAGTGACCTTGTCAGGGAGAGGGATGGGAGCAGAGCAGATGGGTGGGGAAGCCAGGAGGCGGCCAGGGATCGGCCTGTCACACCTCTGCTGGGGAGAAGCCCCACTGAGGCCAGGATGGACTTGCCCGGGCAGGGGTGCAGACTGCCCGCTCCGGTTTCTTCCCAGAACACTCTAAATGCCGGGAGGAAGAATAAGGGCCCTGGCACCCAGGACACAGCTCAGGCAGGGGGCTGCGCAGGTCCCCTTTCACCAAATTCAGACACCATGTTGGCCTGGGCCTTGGCGGGGAAGGTGGGTGCCTCAGTGAGCTGGACACTTGCCCTCCAATCCATCTCACAAGCTTGCCTGGTGGGGACAGGGTGGCAGAGCCTAAGGCCACACTCAGCCAGCGCAAGGTGCCTCCAGGAAGCACTGATCCTTGAGGAGAAGAAAAGGGCACCAAGGTGGGGACCAGCCAATGCCACCAGAAGGGCACAGGAGGGAGAAGGGTGGCCTTGGCCTGGGGCCGCGTAAGTAATGGCATGGGGCAAGGCTCGGCCCCCTCCTCTGGAGATGACCACCAAGAAAATGAGCAACATTCTGACAAGTGGGGGCTGAGTGCACTGTCCCCTGCACGCAGGCCCAGTTCCTCTCTCCTGCGCCACTGCCACCTCCCAGGACAAGGGGTGTGAGGACACAGTGCCAGCTGGGGCTGGGTGTCCAGGTGTGTGCTGACTTCATTTCTGTTCCTAACAAACGCTCCCGATCCCTGGGCTTCATCCCTGCCAGGTGTGAGCTGGCGTCCCCCAGGCTAGGTGGAAACCTCTCTGCACCCTGCCAGGTCCACAGGTGAGGGTCGAGCCCGAGGGCTGGTGGCTGCCTAAGGCTGCCTGCATCCTCTGGGGAGAAGGCAGGGCCAGGGCGACTCGTCTGTCGACCAAAGCTCTTTCTCAGCAGACCACATTCTTCCAATGAAGTTACAGCTTGGTGTAGATGTCACAGGGTGGCAAGCCTGGTGTCCACGCCACAAGGCAGAGGACGCCTACCACCTGCATCAGGCTGGGAGGAATCGTGGCAAAGGGAGCTCTCGTGCGTGGACCTGTACTTGAGCTGCAAGAGGCCGTTAGGCCAGACTGGCCTGCAGAGAATGTGCTCAGGTAGGCACTACAGGCAAGAGTGACTCTAGCTGGGGGTGTAGCTCAGTGGGTGGACCATGTGCATGGTCTTGGATTCCACCCCCAGCCCTGGAAAAAAGAGCTCACTCTCTTCTACCTTTCCGGGCTACGTGAACACTGCGTGTCCTTACTAGGAGATAGGACAGTGCACCAGTTTAGAGAGCAAAGACTCATGAATCTCTTCCTCCCTCTTGAGCTGCTCATCTCCTGGGGCCGTTACTGGGGTGCCCTCCTCTCCTCTCCCCCCAGCACCTGAGGTCTGTTCATCCTGGTCAGAATCGTAGCCCCTTCCCCTGCAGGGACCCCTGGCTGCTGAAGAAACCCTGCCAGGTCTGTGCCTCACACTTCACAGGTGAGTGACCACAAAGCCAAGCTGCAGCACTGCCCAGGTGCTGTCCAGATCCCCACGCCATGGGCTGCTCCTGGGCACCCCCAGCTGGCTCTCACCTCGGGAGTTTCTACTCGAACAGAAAGGTCATGTGGACTCTGCAGTGGTGGCTACTCATGTCACCCTCTCTTTAGAGGGTGGAATGGTAGACAGGAAGTTCCAACCCCCTTTCCATACTGTTCATTTCTAACACTGGCTCCTGGCCCCTGCTTCATCCAGACCCAGCGTTAGTAAGCTTTCAAATGGGAGCAGGAACACTGTCGGCCAAGAAAGGACCAGAACCTGACACAGGCACGTCAACACATTAGCCACCACTCTCCTTTATTTGACAGGAAATCCTTAAAACCCCACTGCTCCTTTTCCATCTGTTGCCAAAATGTGGGATCCAGAAAGTGGGCAGCCTTGGGCCAGGGCAACGTGGCCACAAATGGCAGGGAGGGGCAGGAGGGTGGGAGGGAATGGGTCCAGCACTCAGGCTGTGGAAGGTGAAGTGAGACAAGAAGTCATTTGGGAAAATATTATATTATAAACACATATAGTATGTACACACTCATATACATCCCAAGAGAAGCCTTACAGGGAATTCCGTTTCTTTTCAAAAGAAGGCTCCACTATGATAAAGCATTCCTAGAGTGGGAATTAACTACAATGAAATAATTTAAGAATTTCATTTATATTCTATCTGTGTTCTCTACAGAAGGTCTACGGTGTATAGAGGCAAATGTGTATAGCGGGACTGGATGCTAATGTATTCTTCAAAAATAGGCAATGACATTTTTTTCTCTATTCACATTTAAAATAACTACACAGTGATGAAACACAGAATTAGAAGCCAAATGGAGGGATTATAGAACCACGGTCGAGGTTCTCGGAACTGTGGCTTGCTGCACCTGTGATAGTTCTGGATACCGGTCAGTTCCTCTGAGCTTAATTAACATTAGAAATCTCCGTGAAACACTTACCCACATATAAATTCTGTGTAAAGCTTTATTTTCCCCCACCTACTTTAATTTTTTTTTTTAAAAAGTGAAAGAAGAGGAAAAACTCTTACAAAATATAAGGTTTAATATATGAGAGCAAGGGACTTCTCCAGTGGCTGCTGAGCCAAGAGGGTTCATGTTCCTGTGCTACGTCAGCCCAGCGCCCCGTGTTTCCATGTGACGACCTCCTTCCGGGCCACGTGGCCACAGGGCTCTGGGTAAAGCTGCCCCTTTCGTAATGTAAGGTGCATCGTGGTTTGCTTTTCTGCCCTTGACCACCGCGTTGAAGGGGACCTGAGTCTGAAGCCCCAGACGACCCCATGATGGCAAACTAGTAAAGTGGGGAGGGCCTGGTGCCATGCTGCCCGGGGTTCTCTGGACCCAGGTGGGGCTGGCACCACGGGCAGCTGCTCCCCAGGCGCCTTTGCCACAGAGCAGGGTCTGGCGTTCAGAAAATCCCTCTGTCCTGCCAGAGCTCCTTGTTCTGGGTGGGCAAGAGTGGTCTCAGATCTACAACACACCTTCAAAGAAGAAGTCATGCTCCTTCACCCCCTTCCTAATACGAGACGATCCAGTGTCTTTTTTCTTCCCTTTCTCGATTTTAATAAGCAAATTGTACCACCATCTTATTTTGATCTGTTCCTTTTTAAAGGCTGTATATCACATTAATGGAAGTGTTTACTGCTGGGAATATTTTCCATGTACAATGATCTGTAACCCTCTTATCTCAACTAGTTGCACATTATTAGTTCACATCCAGTTCAATTTATAAATTAACAGAGGTGCCATTTGTCTGTACAAAAATCAATGCATATTTATGAACTTCTTTTATTCAAATAGATTTTCACACATCTTACCTAAGGACCTAGGACAGAAGCCTGGGTAAGGCAGGCCGTGCGGCCTGGGAGTGACTGAGGCCCGGCACATCCACCTTGGCCAAAGGACAGAAAATCTCTCTCACTTTCAGGAAAAAAAAAAATAGCCTTTTATCTATTTACTTAGTTTACCAAATGCACTCAAGAAGCTGCTGTCAGCTAGATTCACCGTTTCCCTTTGAATTTCCAAGTTATTCTTATTTATTTTTTCCATTTTGTTTTTGCACCAAGGAGACTGCAGTCAAATAATACTCAGCAACTGATTTCCTCTCTTTGGACTGAAAAATTAAACAGATACTAAATTATGACAGTGAATTTAGAAAGGAGGGCTCCGAGGGCTCGAAAGAACATGCCTGGGATAATACGATGCTTCTCAGAGTATTGCAATCACATCGCGCAATCACCGGAGCGTGCCCGTGACTACCTCCTCGGCTAATGTGCTCTCTCCTCAGTGATGAGTAATCATGTCCTATTAAACAGCGGTAATGCTGGAAGAACTCAACTATACAAGCGTAATGAAGCCAGTATTCTCCCTGGACAGATTAGCTACAACTGATTTGACACATACCATCATAGGGGCTTCAGACCTGACAAACTCTGGGCTGGCTCCTGATTTATGCCGTCAAGCTCCTCGGAGAAGAGATGAGATCCGGGCGCTCCGTTGGGTGGAGGTGAAATGGACTCATGTGCTTAACTGCCAGTAGGGGAGGTGCCCCTGCTCCTCGCTCCTCACCTCCCACCCGCTCCTGGCCCTCGTCCCTCGTGCCCTGCTCTGTCCAGGGGCCACCGGGGCAGGGGTCCCACGCCGTGTGCTATCGTCAAGGACCCGAGGCGTGGTCTCCCCCGTGCTGCGTCGGGAGTCCGTCGAAAGGAACCGCCTCTGCAGCCTCCTGGCCTCTTCTTCCACCCTCGAGGGTGTCCGGGTTGGGAGGTTTCTGGGGGTGAGTGGGTGGGTGGTTGGGCGGGAGGTGGCCACCAGGAAGAGGGAGGGGACGTGACAGGACTCACGAGCTGTGACTTCCGAGAGTGGACGGCGAGGCGGGGTCCCCGGCGCGGTGGGCAGGGGCGCCGCTCTCAGATGATGCTGGGCACCCTCCCGCTGCTGTTGTTCCGGTTATTGTTCTTCCGGGACAGGTTGGGGGTGGCCATGAGCACGAAGCGCTCGTCGGGGCAGCCGTACTGCAGCAACACCTCGGTGCACTCCTGGCTGGAGGCCTGCCGGGCGTAGGCCAGCGCCGTGTTCCCGTGGGCGTCGCGGGCCATGACGTCCACCCCGTACTGCGGAGGAACAGACAGCCCGTTAGTGCCCGGGGACCAGACGGCAGGGAGGGAGGGGCAGCTTCCCCTTAAGCCCTGCACCGGGGAACTGGCTACCGAAGACTGGCTGGGGGCCGGAGGAGCCAGGGTCAGCGGGGCCAGCCGCGCCTGCGCCTTGGAAGCTCACCTTTGCCAGCGGATGCCCTTCCCTGCAACACGAATGGGTTAGGACAACTCTGAATTTTGTTGTTTCCACTTCAACTTTCCATTTGTCAATGAAAAAAATAATCACTTAAAAAAAATCTCAGAGGCAATTCATTTTCATTGTCGAAAGCACATAACTAGGGCTGGGGATGTGGCTGAAGCCCTAGCGTGCTGGCCTGGCATATGCCGGGCGCTGGGTTCCATCCTCAGCACCACATACAAATAAAAAAATAAATAAAGATGTGTCCACCGAAAACTAAAAAAATAAATATTAAAAAAAAAGAAAACACATAAGTAACACGTTAAGAACACAGGAGGAAAACATCAGCCGTGACCTGGCCACTCAGAGGTCACCTTTGCTGAGTTTAGTGTTTCCCTCTAATGGTTCTTTGAATCTAATGTACATAGCTGTGATGGAGATAAAACTATATATGAATACTCTGTATTTTTTTTTTTTAACTGAACACTGGGTGTGATCATTTTCTTACATCATTAAAAATGACTCACAAGCACAGCTCCTAAGAGCCACAGGGTCCTGTGCCAAGGACCCACTCAGTCACTCCATTACTGTTACACATTCTGCTCGAAAACAGTCACTGGTAGAAGAAATGAACTGTGTGTTGTGTGTGTGTGTGTGTGTGTGTGCACGTTCTGAGTCTTTCGCAGGACCGTGACTGTCAGGGAGAAGGCAAGGAGGGCAAGTCCCTCCTTCTGACACCACATTCCTAGGCCTGCAGCTCATGAGCAAGGCCCTCTGCTGCTTCTGCCAGCTTGCAGCAGCAGGACGCACGGCCCCAAAGGGCTCCTGGACAACTGGGAGGGGAAAGCCACGTGCACTGGGAAGGCTGAACCGTGTGCCTGCCACTGCTGTGCTGGAGTCCCGGCCCCCCAGTCCAATTTGACTGGTGTCCTCTAGGAAGAGCAGGAGACACTGGATATGCTTGTCCACACAGCAGTGACCATGTGAGAAGGCAGGCCACGGGAGACAGCAGCCCTGCTGACACCTTGACCTTGGGCTTCCAGCCTCCAGAGCTGTAAGAAAGTCAGTGCAGCTGTGTGCCGCAGGTGGCTCCCTGCAACCAGGGCTGAGCTGGTCACTGGTTTGCTGTCACTGCAGCCCAGGCAAACTAAAAACACTGCTATTTAGTTTCATTCAGTCTCTACTGAGCCAAGGTGAGGCTGAGGATCTGATTGATTTTTGATTTAGTATCTGCGTGTCTAATTCTACTGCAACCATCAAAAAGTAGGTTAAAGACACAGAGGAAGCTGCAGTCCTCCTCAGTGGTGCCGGACTGGGCTGCGCAGCTGCCTCGGGTGCAGGCAAAGGAACCCCAGCAGGGCGCCCCTCCTCTGACTCCACTGTGGCTCTGTCCAGGTGCCCTGGGAGCTGGTGGAGGACCACAGGCAGGGCCTCTTGTGGGATCATGGTATACCACTTGAGCTTCCATGTGAAGGAAAAGTGTTTTCAAGTAAAAATTACTCAGAATATTCCAGAGGAAGCCCCTTGACAAACTCCCACCACCTCAAATTCCAGGGTTTAGGGCTCTACCATTGCATTTTGTGAATAAAAACACTCAAGGTTTGGCAATGGGGAAACGCCACGGGCCATGAGATCAGACACTTCCCAGGTCCCCAAAGAGGATGGAAATGAAAAAGAGGCCACTGCCATCACTTTTGACTTGAGGAGACATCAGAAAGATGGATCTTCAGAACCGGCAAGGGCTACACCAAGAGGACCACAAGGAGAGTCCGGTAGGCTTCGCCCCCCCAACGCCACCTGCTGGGGATGGAACCCAGGGCCGCACACATGCCAGGCGAGTGCTCTCCTGAATGCACCCCAGCCTCACTTCTGCCTCTCATCCTCGCTCTGCAACCCCACACGGTGAGTCCAGAGGGCAGGGGCCACCGCACTTCAGTCCAAATTCCTTCCTAGGACTTGATCCCCACTTTCAGGCTGGTAAGGATGGCCTTCCACCAGACACAGCCCAGCACAGAGAGGGCACGCCCGCCACCTACCCAGATGAGCAGCTGTGCCAGCACCACGTTGCCCTTGCGGCAGGCCAGGTGCAGCGCCGTGCGGCCGTCTCCCTCCCCGCAGGTCTCGTTCACCTCCTCCCGGGAGCCGTGTGCCAGCAGCAGGATGACTGTCCTCAGGTCCTCATCGGCGGTGGCTCGCAGCAGGTGCTGGCCCAGGGGCAGCTCAGTACAGGGCAGTGGGGCCAGGAAGAGTTTCTGCTCATATTTGGCCCGGATCCACCGTTCCTTCTCCTCCCTGCAATGACATCAGACAGACGTGATCACAACCAGGCAGGAGAACCTCGGCTGCAGCCCCTGCCCCTCAACCCTGGAGCAGTGAAGTGTCAGGGCATAGGCGTGTCCACGTGGCAGAGGAAGCTGGGTGGGGGCAGGAGGATATCCACGGTTCCCAAAGTGGTGTCCTCACCTGCAGCAGGCACCCCCTGGCAATGTATTAGAAGTGCAAGTTCCCTGCCCCCCGCCAGCACCCAGGATCAGCACCTCTGGGGAGTTTAACTAGCCCTGCAGGGCTTGTGATGCCCTCAGAGGGTGAAAGCCAGCTCTCTAAGGCCACAGCCTTGACACACCTACTTGAGTTCTCTGTTTTAGTGCAGCAGCTGTGACCCTGAAAGAGAGCTGTCAGGAGTGCCCCTTCCTGTGTGGGTCTACTGAGGGGTTTCCAGGGTGGGAGACCCACAGGCTCCAGGAGGAGGAGCCCACAGCTATCCCTCCCTGGGCTCTGGCCAAGGGTCCTCCCTCCAACCCCAACTCAGTGTCAACTGTGCACTGCGGCTCTGGGCCCTGGCCTGCGGGGTCTACTCTCCGCTGGGCTGATCTGGGCAGGATGGCTCTTCCTAGGTGTCACTGAGGCCCACTCTCCGGAAGGACAGAGAGGTCAGTGGGGAGGTTTTAAAACAGACGGACAGAGCTGGGTGACTTGCGGGCACTTCTGTAATCTCTTCAGACTTGGAAAGGCTTAGTGGAAGAGACAGGATGCCAAGCATTCCTTACACGACCCAGAATAGCCGGGATTTCTGGGGGAAAGCGTTCCAGGGCCCAGGAGAGGAAGCAGGCAGGTGGCTCCCTACAGCCAGCGCTGAGCTGGGGGAAGCTGGGGAGGTCTGGGGTGGGCTCCGGGGCGTGGAGAGCAGGTGAAGAGGGCAGCGGGTCCCTGACTCCTAGCAGCTTGGCAGGGACCGAGCTCTGGAGCTGGGTGTCGAGGGGTCTGTAGAGCTGGGACCCTGCCTGTGACATTGGGTAGGAGGGCTGAGGAAAAAGAGGAGGGGAGAGTGAGGGGAGAAGCCAGGGCAGGCAGAACCCCGACAGCAAGACAAGTGTCCTGGCACAAAGGGAGGGCCCAGGCGGAGGGCCCAGGTCATCGTATCTGGGGTTGGGGTTGGTTTCTCAAAAAAAAAAAAAAAAAAAAAAAAGATGTAAGTGACAGAAAAACTCAGGGACCCTCCAGACTCTGGCATTGCTACGGTGAGAAAAGGGAGAGGACCAAGACTCTAAAAAGAACAACGTGGGATCTTACAAGTCGTTCCTGAATGGTGCAAGGAGCCTGCTCAAGCTTTTTGATGAGGGTGATGAAGGTGGTAAGAAAAGCCCCCACACGCCCAGAGTGAGTCACGGAAGCCCCCAGGACACTGAGCCACAGCCGGCCTCCCCTACAGCCAGATGCTGTCCTGGGCATCACCAGGGTACACAGCTGCTGGCCAGCATGAATCGCTCAGGCCTCCCGCCCTCCTCCCGCCACAGGCTCTGAGAGCACATCATTCAGGATGTCCAGAAGAAAGGCCTGCTCACACCTTTACCCCTGTTTACACTGCGCCTGGTGATCCAGTGTCGGGTTAGCCCTAATCTGTCGCTAAATACTTAGGCAAACAGATCCTTCCAGGAGCAAACCTGGATTAGTTTTGCTTCACTTCCTGGTCCATGCGAGTGACCCCAGAGTGACCCCTGACTCTTTCATTGGGAGATTTCCAGGACAAACACTGGCCGCGGCCGAGGTTGACCTGTGCTCCACCTGGGCAGACACCCAGGTACAAAAGCAGACGGTGTCCGGAAATTCTGGTGACGAAGAAGAGACAAAAAACCCCAGTGGTTTTGAGATTATTTTAAAAACCTTACTTATGTTAAACATTTGTTGATGCATTTCATAAATCACAAAAGAGAAAGAGCAAAACGTGAATTAAATCGAAAGGGATAATGGCGTGGGATATGTCCAGATTTCCAAGTTCCAATTTGCTAACTCTCATTTTTTCGGTAGGCATAAAATCAGACCGTATTATTCTGCTCGGATTGATTTTAATAGTCATTGCTAAGTCATCCAGGGTAAGCTGGAGAACTTAGCATAGGAACTCCGGTCCCAACTGCAGTTATTAAATGTTCTTTTTAATATTCAAATACCCCAGCCAAAGACAGAGTGCAGATCCCACAGCTCTGACCCCCCTGCTGGGTCTGGATGTTCTCTGAGGACGGTGGCCACTGGCCTTCCAATGGGGCCTGTGGCGAATGCTCCACAGAGGGCAGTCACTGACAGCAGCACAGGGTGGGATGAGCTGTTCGCTGCTTTTAAAAACTGGTGTCCTTTGGATTCAGAGTGAAGCTGGGCTCAGGTTTTGCAGGGCGGAAAACGTGCTGTCTGGGGAGCCTTCTTTAAGAGGGGGGCTCCAGCATCATGTGCCCGAAACAGGAAGAGGGCCTGGCAGAGGCCTAGGGGATGGCCTGGCCCCAGGTGATGTAAGAGCCCCCAGCAGGGTGCAGCTGCTGACAGCCACCTGGACCTCTGACCCCAATACAGAAGAGGGGCCAGGCCTCGGGACCGGTGCCGGGAATACTGCAAGAAGACAAGCCTCGCGGACTCTCCACAGGGTCTGCCCTCCTGGCCTCAGTCCACATGGACCTCCACCCTCCACCAAGGATGTCCCAGAGCTGCTCAGTGTGTGGCTGTAATTGTGGCCCTTCACTGAGGCATCGTGGGCTTTTCCAAAACAGTCCTGCAAAGTCAACCCCTGCGTCCCTGGGGACTGTGATCTTTTTTTAGACACCAAGAGGTGACTTCCAGGGAGCTAAGGGAGGCTGCTGGCTTTGCATCTATCAGCCATGACTCTTGTTAGCAGTTTTAACCTGGTTAGTACAAACACAGGGCCGAGGCAGGGACAACTGTCCACGCACTTCCTCCAGTGCATAGGGAGGGAGAAGAAATCTCCGGTGGACGCTGGGCCACAGGCTGCGGATGCCAGCAACAGCTTCGGGGCCTGCTCTCTCCTTCCCACAACTAGGTCCTTCTTTTCTCATCTGTAAAATGGGTCCAGAGATACCTACCCCAGGCCACTTGCTGGCCACAGAGGCCCCTCTGAAAACAGCTGCTGGTATTCTTGAAAAGCACAGAGCATCCGCAGTGGGGCGGCGTGTGCACCCGAGGTGCCGGTGGCCTGGGGCTGGGGCTCCTCGCTGCTGCTGTAGGTACTTGAGGTTCCTAAACGTGCAGACACGAGGGCCTCACAACTCCACGTGCTCAGTGTGGCCAGGTGAGCTGCTCTTGGCTGGGGCCTTGACAAGCCTGTTGGTGTCTCCCAGGCCCCCTAAGGGTACGGAGGGCTCAGAGACACTGGGGTGAAGGGTACTGGGTTACTGAAGTGACCCTGTGCCTGTCACAGTTGGAGGGCTGAGTGGGCTGGCCTTTGCCCACAGATGAGAAGTCTGAAGTTTCCTGGCTGTTACGGACTAAATTGTGCTCCCTGCCCACCGATTCCTATGTTGAAGCCCTAACCCCAGGGACTGGAGCTGGACTCAGGTCTTTAGGGCAGTGGCTATGGCTAAATGAGGGCATGAGGGTGGAGCCCTAAGGCCCTGGGGCAGGTGTCCATCTGAGAGGAAGAGACACCAGGCCTCCCTTGCTCTCTGAGTGCAGGGAGAGCCAGATAAGGATGAGAGGGAACCACTTGCAAGACAGGAAGAGGCTTTGCCAGACACCAACCCTGCTGGCCCCTCGACCTTGGGCCTCCAGCCTCCAGAACTATAAGAGGCAAACTGTAGGTACGTGGCATTTGGACAGGGCATCCTGAGCCATGGACCTCCACTGCCCTTGCCAGGCTTCCGCCTGGCCAACAGGTGACAGGTGGATGCTGCCGGGTATGAGGACATTCTGCCTAAGCCACCACCCTGGGAATCCACGATGCCAGGTGCAGACATGCCAGTGGTCACTCTGACGTCCCGCTCTTCTTCTGTCCCCAGCTTGTCTCATGCACCCTTTCTTTTCCCCAAGGAAGGCCAGTTCAAGAGCAGGAAGCCAGCAGTACATCACTTCGCCTCGTTCCGGTGCCCCGGAGGACCACTGCTCATGGCCTCTGTTAGCTAATGAGCTAAAAAATGAATTATTGGCACAGCTGCCGTCAGCAGGGAGGAGGGGCTGGCTGCTCATCTGATCCTGGTGCTGACACACCTTTAAATAAATCAGCCACTCAAGCGCCAGGGAGAGAGAGAGCCTGCTCATCAGAGGACAGACACCGCCCATCCCCCCAAACGAAGAGAAGACACCTTCAAAGATGCCTTCGTAGGTGTTCTCTTCCTGCTCCCAATGAAGTCTCTTTCTGGGCTGTGATCAGGAGCTGCCTGGTGCATGGACCACGGTCCAGCCAGGGAACAAGAACCGGACTTGGGGTCAGAGGGTGGCCCTCTGGGTACGTGGGGTCCACGGGGCTTGGCATGGACAATCTGGCCCTGCAGCCTGGTGGCTTTGTCACCCTGATCTTAAGCAGTGGTCACTTGGCCAATTCCTCATGTGTTCACCCCGAAGGGGACTCCCTCAAACACATCTCTCTTGCCACCTGCTACCCGGAAACCCACTGCTGCACCAGTGAAGACCAGGTGCCACCTCCAACAGTCACTGCACTGACCGTGACGATGCTGAGGGTGAGGACAGACAGCACCTGGCTTCGTGGGTCATTCCTGACGACATCAACTCTTCGAGGGACCCTGAGCACGTTACCATCTTCACAAACGAATCGCGTATCAGAAGCAGAACAAAATGTGTGTGAGTTGAGGCCACATTTTGGGAAGTCATGGCCAAAAGGAGTCCAGGTGTCAGGAGGGGGTGGAGGGAACCTGGAGTTGACAGGCATAGCTCCTTTTCTCTGGCACCAAGGAGGCCAGGTGGTGCACGCCACCCAGATCAGATGGGCTGTGGGGTGCAGGCCAGCCCCCCAGCCTGGCCTTATTGGTTTGCGTGCAGAGGATGCAACACAGGGACGT